CTCTCTGAAGTTGGAAGGAACCAGGAGTTTGGAAGTAATAGATAGTTGTACTTTTGCCATAAGCTTGGCCCCCAGCTCTGCTTTTGTGCATATGCAGATGGATATGCGTGATGAGAAATTATTTTCCTCAGGACTTGCATCCTTGTTATTTTTTATATCCCAGCAGCATGATGTGATGTGCCAAGATCTCAGCTGGATTTGGCCCAGTATTCCAAAATTAAGCAAGTAAATGGATGCAAGTCAAGTTAAAATTTTTCATTGAACTCAGAAGTCAATTAAGTTATGCCATAGCTATTCCCTCAGTCCATTCTGCCTGGCTTTCAGCAATTACTGAAATGAAATGCAGTGTGGTACTGTAGATCTGGGCTCTGCTCCCACACATCAAAATTCTCTGTTCTTACTCACGTTTCTGACTTCCAAGGGGGCTTTTCTTGTTGAACTCTCCCCTGTTTCATACCAAGAACACTCTTTTGGCTCAGTGAGCCTAATAAAACACTAAAATATTCTTGCACAGGTCGTTTTTTTCAACATCTGTGATAGGTTTACATAGGTGGTAAAATAAAAAAGATTCTTCAAGTAGCTCTGCTGAAAAAAGATCAAGTGCCTTTCAGAGCAAACATGCATTCTGACCAGCTCTGAAGTTACATGGAAGCAAGTTCTATACTGTTTAAGGCATGTGGCAAATAAGTGGCATTCACTTTCTTCTTCCTAGTTTACGTGGGTAAGAAAAACTGGCATGAATCATGTGGCCATGGTCGAGCAAATTGTTTGAATTTCATCTTGTTTAAATAACTAAAAGTTTTTATCTCATCTTGAAACTATCTTATGAACCTATTTATAAACTTTCCTCCCAATATGGGGATTTTAAATGATGCTTCCTATTGCCCAGTAGGGAGGCTTAGAGTCAGGCCTTGAGTTCTGGGAGTGGTTTGGAAGATTCTGTATTCTTTCTTTTGATGGTGTTCTTGCATCTATAAATAAAGATTTCATAAGAGAAAGGACAAGAATTCAACAGGACTCCATTCCTAAATGCACAATGGAGCCCACCCATGTGGGCTGTCTTCCCAGTCATTTTTAGTCCATCTTAATGACTTCTTCACTACATGAGACAGGAGAGACAGGGTAAAATGAGGAGTTCATCCCAGAACAGCATGCACCAGATCAGTTAAGGCTGTGTTGCCACATCTTGAATACATGACTCCCTGTATTGGGGACTGTAAGTTATAAATAACCATAGAAGTAATTTTTCCATAAGCAGAATTATTTGCTTACTCATGTCTGCCAGCTGTCCAAAAGTGACAGGAAGGAAGGCAGCTTTAGTAACAACATTAAGCAAGTACAGTTAGATTAATCTTCCAGACAATATATATCTGGCATTCATACAATGTAGAACAATAAAGATAATAACAAAAAAAAGCAAAAGTGGTGTGCTTTGTTCTGATTACAGAAGAGAAGAATGGATTTGCCACATCCTTTCTAAAATGGGCTGACAGACTTTCACTGAACTGAAGGAATGTGGGCCACAAACCTCTGTTTCAGGATATAACTTCAGTGTAACCAGGAGTTCTAGGATTCATAGTTAGAAAACCTGTTAAAACCTTTATTCCTAATAAAACTTCTAAAGAGGGTTATAATTGTGCCAGGCTTTATTAGTGCATATGTACCCTTCTATTGTAGACAGGATCAAAGATTAAAAGAAATTTGCTTTGTCCTTCCTTTAAATAAAGAATATTAAATTAAGCCTGGAATAGAAAAAAAAATGCAAAATGTTGTTTTGTTTTAGACTCTATGCAGTTTCCCCAAGTCAGGCTAAAACAAAGAAATGATTGATGCTAACACTCCTTTTGATTGTATAATTTCTATTTTCTCTCTACCGTTAATAACATATCTAGCTCTTGTGATTGTTTGGAAGATGTGGTTTTGAGCATCATTTATTGTTTGAATTTACATCATGGATCTGACCCAGTGCTATGAGGATTTGCAGATCCTGTTTTGAGCAGACACCTGCTGAGGCAGCAGCACTTCATCTTTCTGTTTACTGCAGTGGTCTTTGAACCAGGCTTTGGACATCATTTATAACTCTACTTCCTGTCCCCCCACTTTTTATTCCCAAGACAGTAAATAGCTTCCAGAAAGGAGAAAGGCTGATAGTTTTAGCCCTAGGTTCAGTCAACAGAAACTTTTTATAGTCTTTTTATATCATAAAATAAAAGTCTTGGTTCAGCTCTGCCCTGTTTCTTTATGTCTTCCTCATCACCACACAAAATTGCTGCAGTACAGGAACATATGTTGTGGAAGCTTGAGGTAATAAATTCTTTACTGTGGCATTCCTCCACACCTCTGCTTTGGTGCCAGTATCTGCAGAACTTGTTTTAGTTTTCTGTGTTGCTCTCATGTGATTAATGTTTCCTAGAAGACACACATTTTTCTCATTCTCACTCTAATTCCCGTCCTCATTTGATGTCAATAATTATTGGAGAAGGAATCCCATATTCCTCAGAAATTAAGACACAGGTGAGGAATAATTTTTGTGCAAGCTATGGCTTAAAGATTTTAAGCATTTCAACTATGCTGAATTGCATGGCTGGGAAACATGTAAAGTTAACTACAGAGATTGAAATACATCTCTGAATTAATATAGATAAAGGAAAGGAAGTTTTAACACAGTGAAAACATTGAAAATACTGTGTGAGAATAATCCCTATGCTGTACCACATTATGCTTTTCTTCTGTGAAACTGTGAGTACAATATTCCTGAAACCAAGAGCACATTTTCAAAGGGAGCCTTTTTCACCACTGGATAGAGAAGTGCTTAATTGTTTGGAAATCTATCCACTTAACTCTAAATATAGTAATAGCAGCATCAATTTTTCCACAAGGAAAATCTTATTTGCCTTTCCAAAAAGCCATAGGCCCTTGAAAAATTGACACTGCTTGACTTGACAGCAGAAATGGCTCCAGCTGGAGGCAGTGTGGTTCCTGCTGCTGGTGAGCTGCCTTCCCAGGTGTGTATCCCTGCTGCTGGAAGGAGATGAGACTTTAAAGCCTTCCAGTGCTCTGCTCATGCTGTTGTTTTGTTCATGACCCTCTGAATTTCAGCTCTGTTGCTGTTTCTGCCTGGTGCAAGGGTGGCTTACTGCCCACAGATGAACAGGATCTTCTTGTTTCCTTGTGAACTTTGGTTTCATTGTCCTGAGTAAGAGGAAATAAGGTTCTACAGGGAAGAATCCCAGTAGCCACAGCACCCTATGGTGCTGGAGTGCAGCACTGGCACCTGCACTCCTCTTAAGGCCAAATTTTTTCTGTCTGCATTGCCTTCCATCAAAAGCAAAGGAGCCATCTTCCCTGAAATCGAGTCACTATGATTTTGCTTGTTTGTATAGAGTAAAATGAGGAAGAGATGTGGAAATGGGTAGAAGCAGCATTATGTCCCTGTGCCTGGAATCTCTTGGCATCCATGAGAGGTGCACAGAAATTGTGTGCAGAATTCAGATAACTCCTGTTATTGGAGATGGAATAGGAGTTCAGGGAGGAAGGGGGAGTGTTGACATGCTTGGAGGTTTGCTCCATTTCTGAATCAGTGTTTGCAGAAATCACACTGCTAGCCAGCAGTCTCTTCCAGCAGTCTTTTAAGGGTAATGCAAAACCCATCACAGCCTAGTGCCATTGCAGAATACAACTTGGCAACCTGCAGCATCAATGGGAGCTCCCAGCCTGTTACCAGGGTCCAATATCCAAAAATACACTGAAGGCTGAAATATTCCTACACACACTGCATACCATTCAGTACTTATAGTTCCAGCCTCCAAATGCAGCATTTGGGAGGAAGCTGCTGGGTTCATTTTCACAAGACAGGAAAACATATTTCCAAACAGGTTTTAGCCCAGCTTGTTCAGTCTGCCCCGAATAGATTCCCAGAAAAGCTGCATCATGACATCTCCTGCTGGAGCCAAAGCAAAAGCCATACACTCATAATGTTCCCTGCCTTGGAAGGAAACAGTACAGGAAGCAGACAGGTGCAGGACAAACTGCATAGCAGAAATTTGCTTTTACTTTCTTTAACAATACCCACAATGGTGGCAAGAGGGAAAAAAAAGATCAGTCCTAACAACCTTTTGATATTTGGCACAGGTTATCAACATGAAGAGAGGAAAACTACTTTCCAAAGTATATACACTGAAATGTTTCACTGAGCCCTCATTAGTGGGTTGTGCAGAAGAATTATTTATTGCAAACAGTGACGAGCTAAACTATCTTTTCTTGAAACTAATACCAAACTAGAGCAAGGGAAGGTTTTTCATAAGCATTAGATTAAAATGGAACAAGATCATTACTAGTTTATCAGATTATTGGTGGACTTTGCCTCACATGTCTCAGATACAAGTGGGAACACCTGGCTTCAGAGGCATAGTGGGGTTGGGGGATGTTCAGGTACTTTGCTGGTCTGCTTGAAATACGGACATTCATTCTGTGTTTGCTCTGGGATAGAAAGTGTGCAGATGATTCATTTTCTAAAGAGGTTCAAGCCCTGCAGAAACATTCTAGAATCTTGATTTTGGAGGAAATATTTTATTCTGTTTTCAGTTGAAGTACACCAGTATAGGAGTCTTTGAAAAACAGTGAAAAGGTGGTTGTGTATTAGTGTGATGGAACAGATTGAAGTCCAGTCTCCAATACTTATTGCACAGGAATTCATAATGTCACTGTTAGTCAGTACACAAAGTGCTTCAATATTTTTGTTTCTTTTGCTATATAAAAACGTGCCCCTGCTTATATTGTTTCCTAACTAGCATTAAATATATCCAGTTAAGTATGTATGAATGATGCTTTCTTGTAATTTCTTCAATTTAACTCTAGCAGTTTAAGAAGCTCGGGAATGATCTTGGACACTGCAGCAGGAAAACACAGGAATTGAAGTTGTGCAAGAGAAGAAAAGACCAAGCCAGTCACTCCACAGTTTTTTTTGTAGAGCCAAGAACAATACTTGCTCTATTTTAAAAAGAAATATGTACCTGTAAAGATATTCTGTTTGGTAAGATCATTAATATTTCAGTGAAGTTACAAAATGTCACATCATCTTGATTGTCCATGTTCAGGGGTCTCAATACAACGTTCCATTCAGTGCTATGGGTATACCCATTACTTCACACTCTAGTCAAGGCACATCACTGACACTTTTCAGCCTCTTGATCATTGATTTACTCTACAGTATTTTGTCTTAACCCAGAAAAGGAAATAAAAAAATATTAGGGAAGTTGTTCAAGTAATCTGTGATTTTATACTATGTCCTTTCTTGATGATTACACTGTTAGAGCAGAAATTAAGAATAAACACGCACTTTCCAGTAATATAGTTGTGCTGCATGTAGGATGTCATTTATACAGGATATTATTCAGTCTCTACACTCAGGACTATAATCTCTTCAAATCTCTCAACCTATAGCAAGAGGCAAAGAGACATTCAGAGACAAAACTGCAGAGGAAATAGCCCTGGCAATTCAATAAATATCAATCACTTTTCCAAGTCAGTGCTAAAGCATTACTCATTAGTACAAAATTAAGGGAAACAGTGCAGTTAGAGTGGCTGAGAAACACTCCCAAGTCTGTTCCAGTGTGAGTAGAGGGCTGAGGATGTGTAAGGTATTCTTAAAGCCTGCTTCCTGTTGAAGGAAAATTGCCTTGGCATAGGATCTCTGCAAGACAGCTGCAGGCTGCTCCCTTGGGAAGCCTTTCTAGGCTCCACCAGCAGAGTGGAGCCAAGGATAAAGGCTGGAGGAGCATGCTGAGAGCTCAACCTTTGCATTGCTGCAGATGTTTGGAGTGGCACTATAATCCTCTAAGTTTTGAACTGTCTAAATTACATTACAGTTGTGGGATAGAGATAATCAGGTGGACAAGATAACATCTTAACATTGCTCCTTTCCTCACCCCCACCAACACGCTGACTCAGTGGGGTCCATGTGGAACCTGGGCACTCCTCACAAAAGAGAACTGGGAAGAGATCCAAGTTGAGGTTGACTAAAATTGGTCAACATGGATGATTCTGATGCTGCTTGTGTCTGTCACTGACCTATAGGTGGGGTTTTTCAAAGGCAAAGTGCAGGTGCTTGATGTCTTTGGTTCAAGGGGAAAGAGTCTCTTCTTCCCACAGAATACTGGTATCTATTCTCTTTCTTCCCCTGAACTATTTCTGATGTGCTCAGGTCAATACCACATTTGTTTCTTTTTCTTTTTCCCACAGGATGGATTGTTGTTTTTGTATATACAAGAAATTACCCAGACCTAGACTTCAAGAAAATCTCAATTTTTCAGGAGCCAAAATCACACTGCACTTCGTTCAGCACATTTTCCATGTCAAATTAGGCATAAACCCCTTCATGTTAATATTCAATTTAATAGCAGCTAATTTTTATTACTTTAAGCTGCATTTTTATGATTAGTCTAGTATAAAGCCCTCAGATATGAAAAAAATCCCAAGGAATGAAAATCAGTGATATTTATTGGGTTTTTAAATTGATACTTTAAGCCCAGGAAATTTATGAGATAAGACTGGAATCTATATAATATTGGTCTACATTAAAACAATCAGAATTTATTTGCTTTTTTTATACTTAAGACATGGTGTACACATAATCACTAATATAAGAGAAATTTACCCATCTAATCCTAAATTTAAACTTTTCCTAGATAATATTTAGATTTAAACTGTGAATGACATTTAACTAAACTGCCAGCTTTTCAGTGTGCCATATTTTTGAGAACACAAAGTAAAAAGTGTAAGCATTTCAAGGAATGTCAATGGATAGTTTTAATTTAACATATCATTTTTCATTCAGCAACTGAAAAAAGAGTCATGTTTACTTTTTTTCTTGTTAGTATTGCTCAGGCTTTCTGAAAGAGTCAAACAAAAATGTTATTTTTTCATAATGCATCAGAATGTTCTGAGTTAATGGGTCAAAATATGTCAAAATATCTGCTCTAAAATGTCAATCAAAAATTGCTGACACAAATTAAAACTTGTGGATTTTATGCATTATCAAGTGTATCTCAAAAGTAATTTTCACAAAGCCCTCCATTTTTTTACAAATTAGAAGCAGTTCTTTAGCATGTCCTTGAACGCTTTGTTCCCTGCTGCTGAAGTACAGTCTGCCTTGTTCACCTAAAATGAAGCAAAACTTAATTTATGCCAAATAATTGGCATGCATTGAGAAAGACTCCAACTACTTGGAAAGAATTCAAAGATTTCTCTGTAATGAAGTAATTTTAAAAATAGTGAGTTTGTCACACATATTTGGACCGTCAGCAGTAGTAACATTTTACTTGAATATGTTCATTCAAATGCATATTCAAAGCAGGAAAACAACTGTACATCCTTTTTGCAGGCACTTTGCATAATTTATGTTAAATTGAGTTGGAGAGTGGGCAGATCTAGATTAGAGTTTGAATAGTTTACAATCAGGTACAAGACAAAAAGGGAGTTAAGTGTAACAAAATTTGCATCTTGCCTTGGAAGTTACAAGTTCTACAGTCTGGAACTTAAATTCAGAGGATCAAGGTAGGGTAAACGACTCTCCAATGCAAATTGGTTTGAAATTTTATTTATCTTTTATTTACTTTGAGTAAGGCATCAGTGTTCCTCATGTGATTGCTATCTAACTCAAGGAATTATTTTTTTTTTTGCTGTAACCTTTATGGCACTCGTACATCTGAAGGAAAAGAGAATTTTCATTAACGATGTTATCCAATTTCAAAGAAAATGTGAAATCATTCAGTGCACAGGTGAGATAAAAATGAAGGTTGAAAAAGTTTACAACTGCTTTGCAAAATGTGGAAAAATACTAAACAGGCAAGTCTTTAAGGGATCTTTTAGAGAATTAGAGACCCATATAGAACAATCAGACCAGATTATATCCTGCTGTATGGATCAGATTAAGTTGTACACTTAGGGCTAAAGAGAAAAGTTGTCCTCATTCAGACAAGTAGTTTGGTAGCAGAGTTAGGTGACAGCAGAGCTGTGCTTTTTGTGATGTCAAGATTTTCATTTTTGACTTGATAAGAACAGTCTTTGGACTGCTCATTTTGTGACTAACCATTTGGGAATTTATCATTCCCTTCTATCCTAGAGTGAGGCAACTGAGACTTGACTCAGACATGGTGAAAAAAGTAAAAATCAGGCTGTACTAGAGAATGTTTTGAAGTAGAATTCAAGCTTGAAAAAACCAGCAAAAAATATAATGTTCATTTAAAGAAAATGTTAGGTAACAAGATTAAATTTGTGGTTGAGAAATGACCATGGTATCATATTTAAAGAAATTACACGACCTTTGTCCTTTATCTGTGCATATGCTATAGAACAGAATCATTATGACTGAATGCTGGCTTTTTCCTCCTAGGAAACACAGAGAGTTTCTCAGAAACCTGCACTCAGACAACCAAGATGACTGGTTCTGCCCCCTAGAACAAAATGGGTATAATTCTTGAACAACTGGCCAAGTTCTAACACAGGTGAGTGCTGAACTCAGAGGGTTTATGCCACAGAAGCCAGAAGCACAGTGTAGGAAGGAGCACTATACTGTATCACATTGTGATTCCCTCCTGTGAAACTGTGAGCACAGAATTCCTGAAACCAGGGATACATTTTCATCTTATTACAGGATACAGAAGTGTTTAATTGTTGGAAATCTGCCCACTCAGCTCCAAGGACTAGAAATAATGGAATCAAGCTTCCCACAAGGAAAACCTTATTTCCCTTTCCAAAAGCTCTTAGTCCCTTGAAGCAGGAAGACATGCCAGAAGTAAATAATCTGAAGTTGAAGACATCCATAGAAAAAGACTCTGCTTTGATTTTCATGTTCTCAAGAGGAAGAAGGGACATGTGATCTGCTTAAAGATCTCATTAACTCTTAATTGTAGACTGATAAAACCAAAACCTCTATGTGGTAGTCCAGGCTGAGTTATTTTGGGAATTATTGGTTAATCTCACTCAAAAGAAAATATAACCTGTATGCCAGGTAGTAAATATTGTCAATTACTTATGATGGATATAGAAAAAGGAAAAGGTTTATGCATTGTTCATTTTTATTTGAAGTCACTGTTTAACTCTTTTACATTACTAAACCTCTGTATAAACTTAATCTTTAATCTGGCAGATGTGGAGAGGAGCCAGAGGAGTTTTGGTGTAAAAGTAATATTCTTGACATGAAACGAGCTCCTGGTTTACGGAAGAGACAAAATATATAAATACCTGTCTGTGATACAGAAAAGGTTAATATTCATGAACTTGGGCTGCAACAGAATTAATGATAGTCTCATCAGTTTAATAATAAAGTGTTTATAGAGTTTGTTTACATTTTGGGAGCAGCACCAGGAGAAAAATGTGACTTAAACACAACCTTTTTGCTGTTTCTCAGTTGCCAGAACAAGAGTAATTTATTCCATCACTCTCTTAAGTTTAGCACACTCTCCACCATAAATCTGACCACATCTGTTGGCTGGCACACAGGGACTTTTTGTCAGCCTGAAAAATGCCAGCTCCCTTTATGCAGGTAGATGAAGCATGCTGTCTTTTCTCTCTACTACTGTGCCTGTAGTTACAACCCCCAGGGGCTGGTTAAATGGACTATATTTCATGCTGCTTTCATGTATGGAAGCATGTGACTTGAAGAGATAAGCAAACTTTCACAATACCTTTCTAGCAAAATACCCTGGTGTTTTTAAGTGTTGGGCTTTGGGAAACTACACTGTCATTTTTCTTCCCTAATTTAAACAAGAAATCACATTTGTAACTGTAAGATGATATTTGAAAAAAGGGAACGTTCTATGTAGCAGCCAGCTACGGTGATCACCCCTTTCCTTAAAGTGGGAGAAGAGCTATTTTCCAGCTTGTGACTGAATTTCCAGTCCTATTGCCAGTGATTCCCATTTCTGAATCATCTTTGTCAGGAAAAGGCTTCATTTGCTGAAGCAATTTGTACTGCTCTAAATCTATATTGAGTGCTGTTCAAGTAGGCAGCATTATTATATACATTCCTGTGCCATTAACTGAAATGTGGAGACTATCACATTTAAAAGGAAAAAAGTACAATAATCTCTTCCTAACAAATCAATTAGTTTGTTAAACAAAGAAAGAGCATTACAATGCTTCTTTGGATTTTGCCATCTACCTTTTTACCTATGCTTGTTCTTTACAAGAGAATAACTATGTTTCAGGAAAAAAAGTAATTTGAAAATCACACACCGTATTTTAAAAGTGTATTGGAATGAGTTTTCAAGGTGTCAAAGTCAAGGGTTTAAATCACAGGTGAAAAAGTTGCCTTTCCAACTCCCATTTAGTTCTTTTTGCTTATACATTTCATTATAACATCATATATTTGATTGCTGTTTCATTCTGTTTGGAGGATTGAGCTTGCCCATTAAAAAGCAATTTCCTATGGTGACCTGTACTTTTTATTAGTTTGGTCTTGTCAGATGCTGTCTAAAATACAGAATTATTTATTAACTTATTTGTGGACTGCTTCTCATGAAGTCAGTAGAATGCAGAATTATTACCCAGACTTCCATGAATGCACCAAACAGTGCAATATCAGAGCAGCTCACTGTCTCAGGCAGTGCAGGGTTTTTTCAAAGCATAGATTTGCACTTTCAAAACATGAAAATGTTCTCCTGTGGCTTGCCTGCAGTTCTGCAGGTTGGTTTTTGACTCCCTGATCTTAAAGGTCTTTTCCAGACTAAAGGATTCTCTGATATGTTCATGTTCTCACTGGACACCTGGGATGAGAAGTACATTGAGTGGCAGTGAGTTCTATATTATTTTTCAGGACAGCATTGTGCTGCCATTACTGACACCATCCCTTGTGGTTTCTCTCCAGGAGATAGGAGATCTTCTACCTCATTCACTTGATTCCATACAGCTGCTGCCAGCAGTGAGGCAAGTGCAAACAAACAAGTTACATTTTCCTTATGGATTTCACAGAACACAGAATGATGCAAGTGTCCACAGGGTGGGAGGGGTAAACTGTGCCACAAGAAGTTCTGCATAGCGATGTAAGGATGAAAAGGCTGCTGCCAGCCACATGAGTTATGAGTTTTCTAACCCCTTGAAGTGAAATTCTGAAACTGTAATAAGACCTACAGCCTTTATACCTCTCACAGTAAAAGAAAGGATTCTTGAGAAGTTGTCTGTTACAGGAAACACCACCAGCATCTTTTTACATACAAACAACACAGGGGTCTTAGGGGCTTTTTCATGTGTTTTTGCAAAGACACAAGAGAAAATGACATCCTTGATTACACAGACCAGTTTTGACACCTGTCTTCAACTGCTTTGTAAATTAAACAGATTTGTGCAGTCAGCAACTGAAATAACATTGACATTTGTGTGTAAGGCAGAAAGAGAGCATTTGCAGGGTAAGACGTGATTTCTCAAACAATGCAAATGTACCACAGTTGTCTTGATATTTGCATTTTAAGTGTTTGTGAGATTGATACTGACTGGTTCTGTTCTCTCAAACATTTCTGCTATGTTCCACTTGAATGAAAGTCTCTGCCACACAGTAATGGAAGAGTCCTTTCATGTAACTTCATGCTCCTGAGGACATAGCAGAGTTTCCCCAAGTGCACAGGCACAATGGCTTAGATTTCTAAAGGGAAAGTACTCAATTTACATGTTGAGAAACACATGTGACAGGATTTTCTGTGGTCTGCTGTATTCCTTGGGCACAGAACAGCATCCAGCCAAGATGACCTTGAAGGATCTCTGGTCTTGAAGGCAGTCTTGTCATTTTATACGTTACAGAGCTACCCAGCCACCCAGCCAAAACATCCAATGAGCCTACAACAAGCTTCAGTAGCTTGGCTTCATGTTCAATTTTAACATCCAGTACATGTCCAAGATGTCTTTGGAGAATACCAACTCTACCTGTTAGATGAAAACCTGAACTCTCAAGAGCAGACTTGGTATGGAGCAAAGATTTAAGACAAAACTCAGTAAAGTTAGTGCTAGACTTATCTTGCTTTCTCAATTTAAAGATAGATTTCCAAAAGGTAGTACACAGCTCTTTTAAATTAACTCATACACCCTTTCACTAGCAAAGGGTTAATCATGCAGCTGCACATTCCAGGGCTTTGCTCAATCTGACTTTGAAAGTGGCATGTCAGGCTTCATTCTACCTGCTAAAATGAGGCAGATGTTGAGGGGGCTGAAGTGGAGGTGGGGACAGATAGGAGAAATTCCTTTGCCTTCACAGATTCACAGTAAATCACACACTAGGTTGAAATTAAATTGTGCTGTAATAACTTGACTGCTAAGAAAAATAATTACAGTATTACTAGGTGAAGAGACATGAAATAAATGAGTTAATTACATGCCCACTTACCTCTCTGCTAAGCATGATACATCAAAATGAATTTATCTATGCTTATTAGAGGCAGAGTATAGCTCTATGGAATACATTATAGAGTAAATTATTTTGCAATCTATTTCATGTTGTACCTTTTCAAAATTCTGCTCTCAGTCTAAATTGTCTGGATCATAAAAATCCTAAGGACAAGGAATACTAATAAATAGGACTGAACTAGAACGTGTATGTGCAGCTAAGAGTGAATATTCAGAAACCAATGCAGTTAATATTCTGCCTCCATTAAGAACTTTATGCATTATTTCAAACTGGAATTAATCAGCATCTTTACAATGAGGTGTACAAATGATACTAACTCAGAAAATTGGTGTGCCCCAGACTAGCCCACCATAAATGTAAAACAGGAATATGAGCACGAAGTAACAGGTAGTTTGTGCTATCTCCTCATGTGGCCTACTGGTGCATGTATTTTTAAATTACTACATTCTGAGGTGACACTGATGAAAAGACCAGTCTTTAGGTTTTCTAGGGTGTCTTGGAATCCTTCCATCCCTTAGAAATCAGGCAGCATCACTGATTAGTGCTCCCAGGGCTTCTGCCTCCCTCCCCTGGACTTCAGTAATTCCTTGAGCTTGTTTTCAAAATGGAAATGGCTTGAGAGCAGGCCTGGCTCTCAAATCCACATGAAATATCAATTTCTGTATCCCAGTGACATGGTTTCCCATCATGACTGCTGCAGTCTTAATGACACCACTCATTGCTCTAGATAGTGAAGAGTATGTTACATTGGGACTTTAATTTCACATTTAATTTTAACAAGTCCCTTGTTAATTTACTGAATGTTGGTATAAATAATATAAAAACAACTTCTCATATATGGTTTAAGTGGTTAAATTGATGGATTCCATTCCTTTTTTTCTGATTATTATAGAAATTGCATTCATCTAAAGTGCTTGAACTGAGTTACAAAGCATAATCATTCACAGTTTAGGGAAAATACCACATTATGAAAAGCAGAAATATATTACAGTTACACTGAGAAAACCTTTTTAAAGCAAGCTTTACATTTCCACTTGTCATTTTTTCCAGTGATATGAAATAGTACACTGAAATCCCTGTAAAGTCCTGCCAGAGAGAGAGAGAACTGGATTTCTACAGTACTTTAAGCTTTCACTGCATGCTGTGTCTGTCCTATGGAAAGATCAATTTGATCATGTACTACGTTTTGCTTCAAACCAGCATAAAATTTAATGAAAGAGATAGTGGCCTTCAATTTTCAGGAGGTTAGTGTAGTTTTTGGAATATCCCTGGGTCACCATATGTATTTCCACAGTGTCTAAACAAGGTTTTAGTTTAGTCCTCTGTTACAGCTGTTTCTCATTTTCATCTTGCAGATGCTATCTTGCTTACAAGGCAGCTTAGTTAAAAAGCTGTGTTGACTCATAAGACCAAGATGTACAACATTCAGTTTGATGGAACAGTGTATAACCCCTTTATCATCCACAGGGCAAAAAGCTTGCAGGGGGAGAAGATTCTAGGTCCAGAAGTAGTGTCAAAGCTCCCTTTTTCTGTGAGGCATAGTCAACTATTAAAAGCCTGAAAAATGTGCTTATTCATCTTATTATTATGGAAAATCCTGGTGACTCACTGCATGGGCGAGAGAAGATGGTTTAGTTTAGTTGTTACTGTTTGTAATTGAGCTCTCTGTTAAGATGGAAACAAAACAGAAATAATGCAGAATATTCCTTAACTGTACAGGCATTAAGGAGCAGGAGAGTATTTACAGGCACATCCCTGATCCAGTCATTTCTTAACACTGAATAAAAGACAAAAAGAAGGGAAAAAAAAGAAAAGAGAGGAAATCTCAGTCTTTCCCCTTCCTCCCTAGAGCCAGGAGTCGGAACGATGGAATTTCCCTAGTGGGAAAACAAAGACATAATGTCTAATTGCTAGGACATAAAGACTCAGAGGGAGAGCACACAGTGGCCAGGAGAGCGGAAGAGCAGTGACCCAAACGGTCAGAAAGACAGAAAAAGAATCTCAGTTCGGAGTAGGCTCAAACAGTTCAAGAACCCAAGCACAGCCAAAAGTAGGCTCAGGAGTATTGAGGCAAAGCAAGCACACAAGTAGTTGCTAGTCTGGTTTTTATACATTTATCTATCTGAATGCAAACAGATATTCTCTGGCTAACTAAGGAAAGACAAAACTTATTAATCTAATTTCCTTTCGTCTTCAATCCATATGTACTCCTATAAATACTGAGATCTGAGGGCAGATTTTCTCCAGCTTCCAGGCAACAGTGAGAACAAGCCTGGGTAATGCAAATATAAGACAGGGCATACTATACTGATGACTGTAAGAAACAGGGAACACATTCCCTTCAGTGCATGCTACAGGAAAAGCAGGAGCTGAAAGTGATTATTGAGAAAGAACTTGGCTGTTGGAGTGTCCCCTATACAGAGCAGACTCACAATTCCAGACAGTGGGAACCATACAAGGTTGTGAAAGAGGACAGAGTTTGTATCAGGAGATAAGAAAAAGAGTTATTCTCAGTAAAGGATTCGCTTAACTCAGATTTTCCTTGTATTCCCAAACCTGACTTCTGAAACTTGAAAACTCTTGATTAAGGTCAAAACTCAGTTGCCAGTTCCTTCCTGGGGAAAGCAAGCCCATCCTCAGGAAGTAGAAGTTTCTTTTCTACTTAATAAATTTCTGCTATGCACACAACTTAAGTGCAAATTCTCTTTTTATTCTCTGAACACCCCAATATTCAGACTTCAGCATGTGAGAGAATGAATGTAGGTTCTCAGCTTTACTTTCAGTTCTTTAAGACCAACATACAACATAGCATGGAGAATACCAAATCTCAGAGAAAGCAGAGAACTAAAAAGGATCAGAAAAGAAACTATGTAAGTCTTTCAGAAATTATATTTGATTTAGAAGGACATCCTTGAGTCAGGAGGATACACAAGGGTACTGGTGGTGTAGTGTCAAACAAATCATACAGGATTTTAATGAGGAAGTAATTATATGGGTTTTTTTCAGAGTGCTTTATAAACACTAATTATAACATGCTGCTAAATTTTCCAGGTGAATAAACAGAACTAGGAACAGATTAGACAGCTTGCTAACCTCTGTGAATGAGGCAGCAACAAGCTTAGCTGCAGGTCCTTTGAATTTTTATTGATTATTGCTCTGCTTAAAACTTTACTCGGTGTGGAAGAGACTGAATACCTATGAGGCAAAGGAAAGTTACTTTAAAATATTTATTGGAAAGGTACTGACAAGTTTAGATAAGAGTGCAAACCTTCTGTACCTTTAGTTTTTATTTTAAATTTCCCCTTCATTCTCAAGAAGCAAAAATGAAATTGGACTGTTTTATTGGAGGAGACCTCTTTGAAATGTTTACATGCCATTAGTCACTGCATCTGGGAGGTAAGTTGCACTTGGCTTTCTGCATCTGTCCCCAGTGTAAGCAGATAAAGACAACTGCTTTCCCACAATGCCAGGATTCCACAAGCACAAGGGCCAGCCCTCCACTTCTCTTACATTTCTCCCTTCCCTGCAATCTCTTCAAAAGATCCTGTACACTAGAAGAGCCAAGTTAATTATTTTAAAGGTTCCAATAGTTTATTTTTCAGAAAGATTCTCAGACGTATGAATCACCAGGAATAACCGTAGTTCAGGAAAAACTTCTGGGAGTTGGATGTAACTGCTAATGCTTGGTCAGAATCAATTATATGGGAGCTGGAGGCAAAGGGAGGGGGAAAAGCAAAGCTTTCAGTGCCCTTTGAGCACACAGGAAAGCCAAGGAGGCATTTTAGCTCACCTTAGTGACAAAAAAAAATCCCAAACACAAAATAACCAAGGTCTAAGTTTCTGACCTTGATTTCAATATCTTTGTGTTAAAACAGAATTGACATGCACTTATGCTGAACTCTTTTTTGAACAAGAGATTTGCTGAAATGGGAAAAATTTGGCTATTTTGTTGCATTTTTCCTTTTCTACTTTTGAGTGATTTCTCTCAAGCTTTTATAGGGGTACAAGTTAAGCCTTCATCTTTAGTCATACAAACTTGATTCCTCTAATAAAACTTCAAGCAGCACAGAGTAGTTTTAATATTGAATAAAACCAGCAAAACTAGAACACAGAATATCTGTGCCATCAAAGTATGTTTCAGCACAGAATAGAGTAGTCACAGAATTTGTGGTAACACTATATGGAATCAATTTACGCCTGGCAAGGAAAATAAAGGTATAACATTTCTTGTGCAAAGATTTTTCCACATTCACTCCAATAGTGTGTGTCATTAGGTACATCTGTGACAAAAACATCACTTAAAGCAGGCTAGTAAAGAGAAACCTTGGCTCACTTACCCTATTACTTCATCTCTAGGGTTTGCCTTGGTGCACTTTTCCAGTAACATGATATTTGGATAGGCTCTGTATTGTCTTATATAAAAGAAGTTACTATAATAGTGATCTCCCTGCACTCTATGACTTATCTGTAATTGTTTCATTTGGCTTACAAAGTTATATCCAGTAATTTTATAATAATGTACAGATTAGTCCACGTAAAATCGCTCTTACTTGTTTATATTTCGGATTAATTAGCAATTTTTCTTTGTTTAAGCTATAAACTGTAATCCACCAGAGTCTGTGTGGACTGAAGACTCTGCATTGGGAGTTATCATTTGTGGTCTTATGGCAAATTATAAATTACCTCTAGTGTGACTATATATTTTAATTTATAATTGTTTATGATAAACCCAATTTTAATTATAGTGTTTTTAGACATTTCCATTGCTATAACATTATTTCATACTTGTGTCAATCTTAGGGTTTTAGAAGTAAATATAAGTCAGTTTTGTGCTTTTCAAAAAATACAGAACAGATTTGACCTTAAAATACCCCACCCATTTTAATGTTTTCTCCCAAAGACTCAGCAGCAGCCAGTACCATACTTAACTGGAATACATGATATATTTATGAGTCATCTGCTTTGTATTTAATTCAGTAAGGAGGAAATGTAGAATTAAATTTGAGAGAGAGACTAGTTCTCCAAGCATTTTGTAAAGAATACATGTTAGATCTCACCCACAACAGGACTCATCTGTGAACCTTTAGTGAAGGAAGAACTTTTGATGAGAGTAGGATTTAAATTGTTTAGTACTTCCTGTGGTTGATTTTAAGTAACTCCATTCACAGGATGCTGATGCGAGTCCTTTTCTTACAAGCCTTAGTTAATCTTGGTTTGTATTTTGGAATGTTGTAACACTTACTGTGCAATGGAGTAGTAAATCCCAAGGTGTGCAGGACCCTCTGCTGCAGGGAGGTCAGGCTTTTGCAGCAGTCTTTACTCAGTTTGGGTGGGGAAGATCTGAACTAAATTGGTTGTTTGCAGATTTTCTTGCTTTCAAATGAAACCTTACAGTTCCAGACGTCACTTTTCAGCTGACACCAAAGCTTACTGCAGTAAGACAACAAGAAGTTCACAATAATATCATGTTGTAAGACAACAAGAAGTTCACAATAATATCATGTTGTAAGAACTGGTCCAATGAATCAGATTGAAACTTGGTTGCCCCTCATGTATGTGGGCCAAGATGGCAGATAGTATATTTGCAATCCCTATTTGACAAAAAGGTCCCATTTTACCCTTACCCTGCTAGCCTTGGGTTAGGGTGAAATGAGACCTTTTGATTCCATGTGCCTGTATAAACTGCTATCAGAATGAAAGAGGAAAAATAATATTTTTAGTCCAACTTCTACAATAATAAATAACAACATCAGGACATTCTAAGGAAAAAGACAGAACTGAAAGCCAGTAGAAACCCAAGAGAATGAAATTAATTGTTTTGTTGTAGGCAGTTGAATTTTTAAGCTCATCCTATTGCAAAGTAACTGTTCATAACTATGTTTTATTATATTAAAGGGCAGAATTGATCTACCCAATCTTCTCTCTTCATAAGTGCAAACATTGATGTGTCATCTACTGAGGGAACATTAGAACTATGCTGCTAAGCACCTGATCTTTGAGATGTCATGGTCAAAATTTAACATCTTTAAAATCTTGCAGTTTCCTGATACCTATCATTTACACAGAAATAGTCACCCCTCTGGAGCTGCCCCTAGAAAGAAACACTTGGAATAAGTGGGAGTGCATGTCCTGCTGTGTTGTCTCTGGTCCTACTGAGAGTACTGCTGATGCTGAAGATCCTCTGTGCAAGTACAGAGTAGTAATACCAGTGTTTATGGAATTCACTGTTTCTTATGCCAGAACTGATGGCTAAACTCAAGGTACATTAATTTTTCACAAACTGCATCTTTTTACCCATTCCTATGGGTACTTCTAAGCTGGCCTCTAGTCCTTTCAAAAACACCATGATATTTCAAGGTCTCTCAAAATAACTGAAGAAAACTTGAAAAAATGTTGTAGCTTTTGTGCACAGGCAGGTCTGATAAATTCATTGCCCTGAACAGTCCATTTCAGAGCTCACAGAAGGACACAAGTGCAATACCAGTCCCATAACAAACTATGGAGATATTTGTTACTGCTGAGCCCTTCATATGTCATGTGTATTTCAAGTCTTACTGAGTGTCTGGTTCCCATGACTTGAATTCTGGATTTAAGAGGCAATGTGACATATGTTTTTTAATATCTCTCCAACAGGGCATGATTTCCATGAGTTCAGTATACTTATCACTTTTAATCCAGGTTTTAAGAAGAAAATTAAATTTCATGGTAAAAAAAAATAAATTATGGAATGCTTGAATCTTTTAACTTGGAAAGGAGTTTGCAAAAATAGTTTCCATTCATCCAAATTCCAAAAGAAAAAAGTATCATAGAGGAAAAAGCGTGTATTTCTGCATGGATTGTGCAGCCCCAAGCACCCAGTCAGTGATTTATGTAATAGAGGCTTGTGGAAATCATCCTTCTTGGGCAGCAGCAGGACCAGAGCTGCCAAAAGCTGGTGTAATTAATACCACATTTGTGCCCAAATTGCTGTCTTTCAACCCTGTGTAACCCCACTGTAGTCAGTAGCAGAGTAGAGCATATACTTCTGCAGTAAATAGTAAATGTGATCTAGACTTGTTCATCCCTAGGAAGATGATCCACAAGTGTCTGCAAGTCAGCTGGAAGTGTTCTGCCCCTCCACATGCCATGTACTGAGCAACTCTTAATTCCAGAGTCTAAGTTAGTTTGCGTGTGTAATTTGTTCTTGGTTTTCTGCCTGTTTATGTTGCTAGGAATCTCAAACTACCCATTAAGCCATGATAACAGAAACAAGAAAATCCTCCCCCTGCCTCTTGCCTCTGTCTGTGACTCTCACAACTGCCAGAGGAAGGACAGTGAAGTAAGGAGAACGCTAGACAAGCCATCTCTGTTATTAATAATAACACCAACGGGAGGACTGGGGAAAATAACTGCTCTAGAAACTTCTGGCTGCTGGATTAAGCCTATATGGGCTCCCTCTATCCACATTTATGTAAAATGCTGCTTCTCAGAGATGCTGTCATCTCAGAGCTTACAGGGGTCCAATTACACAAAAATGTTCTGAAAGTTTTCCTGTATTCTTTTCCTATGATGTTTATTTATCCTCTGATTATTGAAAGGATACTTAGGCCCAGGTTTACATGTGCAAGTAACAGTCCCCAGCTGTGTCATTAGTGCTGGAGTACTGGGGAGGAGGGAGTTAAGAGAAGAGATCAAAGCAGCTGGGATCTATCAAGCTATTAGGGCCCACTGCCAAGGGAAGAGAAGGAACTGGGGCTACGACAATGGCTTTGATCCCAGGAAGAGAGGGCTGGGGGTCAGGAAGCATGAAGTAAGGCTGAATCTGTTGCTTTTGGCCCTGGTTTTGAGTAGGCTCATCACCCTTAGAGGTAATGTTTCTCTTGTAGTTAATTTTATAACTTTCTATGTGCTTTTGCTGTGGTCTTGATTCAAATTTACCTGTGTGACAGCAGAGATGATAATTGCTAAGGGAAGCTGTGATGCAAAGCAGTGTCTGCATTGAGCAGGATGAGGTTACATGGAGTGCAGGCTTGTGCTAGGCTGAGTGCTGGTCTATGTCAGTGGGAGGCTGGACAGTTTTAGCAAAAAATTGGGGCTTAAGGATGTCTGTCTGGTCTGCAAGATATTTGAAACATCACCACTTTACCCTTGGTGAAGATGAGCACCAAAATGCTAATGCTTTCCTTTGAATTCTGTAGGTTTAAAACCCCACAGCTTCACTCTTCTGTCATTAATCTCCTAAAAAGTGGTGATTCTCTGCCCTTGTAGGCAAGTAAGCGACTTCATTTGGCTAGCAGAAGTTCTTGGTTTGGTTTGGGACTTGTTATCTTTCTTTGCTTTCTTCAGTCTGATTCAGGGTAGCCTTGCTGGGATTTGTTATGGAAAACTACAAATGGGTAAGACACCAGTGTCAGCCATCTCCAGGGGTGTAACTTTCAGTGTTGGCACTTGATGGGTTTTAGGTAGGCAAATCTCCAGAAAGCAGGGTACAGGATTTTCTGTACTTGGGAAGGATTCTGGCTCCTCAATGCTACTGTTCATCTTGGCTCTTCCACAGCTGCAAGAAGCTGAAGGTGTTAAATGAGGTGTGAGTCATAGCTCTAATGAACAGTTGAAATTAAGAGTTTTCTTTATTTGCTTTATGAAACTCATCAGTGCTCAAAGTGTGGAAATTCCCTCCTAAAAAATTAAGAAGTTGTGTTGTAGAGTAAAAGATCCAACTCTGCTGTGATTTTAGTGAAGGCGTCTACCTTGACAGCATGATAACATCGAATGATAAGCCCTGTATTTCTTAAATTTGTTGGGTTTTTCCTCGTCAAGAGTTAAGTTTGCTTGCGAAGAAACATCTCCAAACATCTTGCAGTTTTAATATTTCTTTTATCATTGCTTAAACATATTGAGTAGCTGCTAGTACAAATGTACTCTTTAACTAAGATAACTGAATTAAAATCAATAAGTTCCTCTTTATGTAATTTATTCCCCTCACAAGTAATTCAAAGCAATATGTGTTTTGTACTTTATTATCAGAGTCTTTATCATTCCTATATTTTTCCCTTCTTTTTCTTCCTTCTTTTTTTTCCTTCTTTTTTTTATTGAATAGTTTTGTTTTCGATAACTTGAGAGGGGAAAAAAATTAAGTCATTTTGTTCAATGAAATGGAGGCATCATTATTTTGACAGCAGTATAAATATTTGTACCAACGTAGCTGCAAATTTGCTTTACCAGGATAATTATAAGGTGAAATTTATAGTCTTATTGGAAGAGTTGGATTCTTGTAACAGAATATTCAATTTTTCATAGTTTTGCTTCATTTTTAGTATCTCCATGTGAAAAAAAAGATCTTATTTATTCATGCATGGTAGTGTAATTGATGTTCATGTATTCTGCACTAAGAGTCTTCCCTTGGGGAGCAGGGTATGTTCAGGTGAGATAAAATGAGACATTATCTTCACCTTTGCCATGAACTGACACTATTCTGCATCACAGCTTTCACAGTAATTAAAAGGCACAAACCATTTCTTCCTCCAACACTTCTCCGTTTCGGCTTCTGTTGCATTGCTGCTTCATAGAGGTGGAATTCAGATTCTTTCCTAGAACTTTTTTAATATACAAATTGTATGCACAAATCTTTAACATGATGCTTCTGGCATAGCCTGGACCCTGTAAATTTCTCAGTCTTCCATCAAAAACAACATTAAGAAGTTTTCCCTATGACAAACCTTTGCACGAGATTACACAATGTCCTCCTATGCAGAAGAAGCATAACTGTACCTGTTAAATTGCATTTATTCTTCCTACTTATGACCATACAGCAATCCTGTAAAACCTCTGTGATCTCTATAGGTTTTTGTATCTGTGTTGATGCTCAGAAAGATGTGGTCTGAACCAGAGCACTACATGTGAGATGGAGACATTCTGGGAGTGTGTGTGCATGAGGGTAATCTCAGTGGAATATTTTGGCACAGGGATGACTATTCATCTGTTGAGCATAACACTGGGACAGTCATTAGTGAGAATCAGTGTGGAGGGAATGAAGTCAAAAGCAAACTGATGAACTTTGCACTTAGGGCTGTGAGCTCTGGAATGGAACAAGCTTTCTGCTTCTTCAGAAGAATACACTACAATCAGTTATGTATGGCTCTTTCCCTTGGGTTATTAATTTTCTAATAGTTTTCTGAATTATCTTACTATAGCAGCTTTGTGGGTTTTTTTCTTTTTTTTTCCTTGAGATTGTCAGATAAGTCTTTAAGCCAGCAACAGTGAACACAATGTTATTGTACTGCTTGTTAACAGCTTTGATCCCTTCATGAAATGAGAAAAAAAAAGTCTAGGACCCTAGCATACAAAATTTAGAAGGGCTTTAAAATTATTTGACTTCTCAGTCAATTAAAAATTAATTACTTCATACGTCAATGGAAGAAATATTTTCTGCTTTTATCCCAGCCCATTCTCTCTGTGCACTCAGTGGTGTCTGATTGACAGATTCACTCAAATTGATGCCTGCGACTGGAAATAGAGGACTGAGTCCACACTGCAAACCCAGCTTCTTTAGAGACATGATGGGGATGGGTGGCAGCAAGCAAAATTACTTCATTAATCAGTAAGGAAGATGTTAATGCCTTGTCTAGAGTTAGAGACTTATTTATCACAAATATTTGAGAATATGTGAAAATTGTAGATGATGTTGAAGTTGACTTTGTAGCAACCATCAAGTGCAAGAATACACATCTTCAAAACAGGCAGCTGGCACCAACTCATCCTGGTTTGAATTAGGATTTACTCAGTCAACTGTGAATTGACATTTCCTTATCAATAGAGGGTTAGACACCAAAATATGAGGGAAGAACAAAGCAAGTCTGGGATATATTTTGTTACATATCTGGGACATTCCTAAATGAAGTCAGCCTTTTTACCTAAGGGGATTTCCCCAAAGACAAAAATCACACTTCATTTGTGTAGTCATATGATTAAAAGATAAAATTCTTTAATTTGAACCAAGACAGAAATTCTTTACTAGATTCCAGGGGAGATAGGGATATAGATGTAGTCTACATAACAATTCACCAATAGAAAAATAAATGGGGGGGTGGGGGGGGAGGAAAGTTTCATTTGTGTCATGGTATGTCAACTACAAGAGGAATGTAGTATTTTCTTTCACAATTGTGACATGGCAATCTGCTATTAGACAAATTATTTGTTCTGAAATTTTTGACAACAAAAATTTGAATATTTCTTAGTTTGTTTATTCGTGCAGACAAAGCACACATAGTGAAGTTAGAAATGCATATTAAATCAACTATTTTGCTCTTTCAGAATAATGAAAGAGTAGCATTGCATAATGCTGACAATAAAATAACCTGAGACTTTTTGTTTTCCTGTGATGTCAGATTAAAGATTTGATTCTCCAATTAACTTGGATCACTTGCAGCACTGGGAGGTTAACATTACAGGCTAAAATACTTTCTGCTACAAGGAGATAAAATATCAGAATGCTATTTGAGTCATCAGAGGTTTAAATTAATTGCAATCTTGGAGTATTGACTTTCCTTACCTCTCTCCCATAAGATTGCACCTGTACTGGGCTGCTTGTACGACTCGTGTTGCAAAACCTAGTGGTTCTTTCTCAACACTGTCATGAGGGTAAAAATGATTGATAAGCTGTAATAGAAGGAAGGGAAATACAGACAATTAGTTTTGTCAGACACAGGCTTTCAATAAATATTTCTACACACTTTTCACTATTTAAATTTAAAAAGCCACATTTTTAGGTCAAAATGTTTTTCACTTTTCCAATTGTGTTGGGGGTGAATTTTTTGCTACTTTCTTCTGGAACCTGGACAAAAGCAACTCTGTTCAAGAGAAAAGCAGCAGCTCAATGTCTAATGTTCATATGATGTTGTTCAAGGTTGTAACAAGGAGGGGGTTGGTGTCTTCTCCCAGAGAACAAGCAACAGGACAAGAGGGAATGGCCCCAGGTGGCACCAGGGGACATTTAAATTGGATATTAGGAATAATTCCTCCACTGAAAGGGTGGTCAGGCCTTGGAACAGCCTGAACAGGAAAGTAGCAGAGTCACCATGCCTGGAAGTGTCAAAAAAAGTGTGGATGTGGCCTTTGGTTTAGTGGTGAACAAGGCAGTGTTAGTTAACAGTAATGACTTTGGAGGCCCTTTCCAAATTTAGTAATTCTATGACATGAGCCTCCAAACTGATATCAGACCTGATGGTTATTGGACATGGTTTTTTTGCAATCTTACCTCCTTATCATTGCCATTTATAATAAAATTACATCTTGCCATATTTATAATAGAACTGAGCCTGATAAATATTAGTGAGCCTAAAAATAGACCAAAGAAACCACCTGTTATCAATGAAAATAGCCATTGCTAAGTAGTCTCCATAGCTGGTTTAGAAACCATAATTTAATGACTTTCAAAAGGCCTAATAACTTTAAAATTTAAAATTCTACCTGATTTTTATTCTAGATTTCTTTCTTAGAAACACATGGAATTGTTTACAGTCTTTGTTAATCCCAGAGCAGTATTTTTGCCGCACAACACTTTAAAGCTATGCCTGTTTTGCTGGAGTGCTATGAGACTTCTCTGCTTTTCTGGAATCCACTTAAACTCCTTTGGTGACAAGTAATTCTCTTTCTCAGTGCAGCCAAATCTCACCATCCCATTTCATTTTGCCATTCAATGTTGTCAGTGTGGTATTTTTAGCACTCAGTACAATTTAGGAAAACTGGCTAGAAGGGCCAAGAGAAGGAAGGAGGTTCCCTGGTCCTCACTAAACCAGATTTTTTTCCAGTGCCTTTTTCCAGAGCAGGGCTAGTTCCAAACACAGTTGAATAGACTACAGGAAATATTTAGTTCTTGATTCCCTGCAGCTCTACTCCATTTATGTTTGGAAGACTCTAGCTCTAAGTAGTTAGAGTAGAAGTCTATCTGTATGTTGAGTGAATTCAATTTATTGTACCTTTTTTACTCTTGTGCTTTCAGAACCTTAGTTTGTTAGCATTTGATATATGTTTTATTACATCAAAAGGGGAAAAAGAAGACCCTTGCAGGGTCTTCTGTATATGCTTTCAGTACACTGAAGTTTGTTCATTGTTGTGATATTTTTGTTGGCTCTTAGTTGCTAATTAAATTCAATAGGAAAATTAAATTTTATTCTGAAGTACTTTTTTTTAATTACAAGCTTACATTCTCATCCAGCTTAACTAATTTATAAAGTGTAATTAGGTAGTTCCTAGCACACCTTGCTCAGAGTCACAGAAAAAGAAATGAAAGGCCCCTAAGCTAGCTGAGCCAAAGCACATCCATGTAATACTGGACAGAACTGGGCTTGGTTTTGTTTTTCTTAGTCTCTTTGAAAAGATTTCTGCTGTTGAACACTACACCATCTTTCAAGGCCATCTGTTTCATGACTTTGCTACCTTTGTTTTTAGGAACTATTGTCTAGTCCACATTTCCCCCCCACACCTTTTCACACTTCAAGCCTGCCATTTCTTGCTTTATCCATAGAGAATTGAGAATATATTCTACTTATCTTCATGTATTTGAAGACCATTTCTATATGTTTTTCCCTTTAAATCTATCTTTCCTTTAAATGTCTTAATTTTTTTTTCAGTTTAATTTTCTAAATTATGGAGTACAGTGTGAAATGAAATCCCTGTCCTGTTCTCTTAAGTCATTGACTAAAAATTTATTTTATTTCATATAATTTATGCTGGTTCCCTTTTGATTTTTTCCAAATGATCCACAAATTTCTTGAAATACAGTTCTGAGAATTCAAATGCTCTTGGGCTTAAGTGAAATAATTCTTCCACTGTGATTTATAACCTAGCCTTTTGTTTCACTGCAAGTTTAATGCTTGTGTTTTCTTAGCAGTATGACACCAGTGACTCATATTCTGATTGGGATGCAAACACCCAAATATCCTTCTTCAAAAAAACAGAGCTCACATGTGACTGTCTGCAAGTGTGACTTCCTAGATGCAGTACATGCTCTTCTTCCTGTTTAATGGGATTCTGCTTTTCCAGTCCTTATCTCCCATTTTTCAGAGTGTTTTTTAATTCTTACCTTGTTCTACAAGAGAGCTCCTGAAAAATCTGGTCTCAGTTCTTTCATGTAGGTCACTAACTGGAATACAGAGCAGTCCTGGCTCCAGAGCAGACAGTTGCTCCTCAAATTTCAGGTTGGATTGCCTTTAATTTCTGGATGTTTGGACAAGTGCACTTAGTATTGTAGCATATGAAAAGACTACATTTCACTCATCCCCTCTTCTCTGAATAAGCCCTGTACTTGAAATTAAGAATCAGAGACACAAATATCCAACAAAGCAGAGATACATCAGGCTCTGTAGTGAGCTTCCCTCATTTGGAGAACAGTAAAGTAGGAAAACAGGGAATGTTGTTCTTAAACATCTCCTGGCAGCCATTACATAGGATGCAAGATGTGACTGTCACATTTTTGCTCACATAAAATCCCTCTGCTGCAACTTAAATCCTTAAAACCCTTCTTGGCCTTGGCTTTCCACCAGTGAGATGTCCAAAACCCCCCTGTGACATCCTCTTCTGTCCAAGAATTGAATTTGTGGGCATCAATTCACAGAGAACAAACAGACTCAAACTTGAGGGTTTTTTTAACTTTTGTATTAGTTTGGGAAGTAAAAAATGTTTTAATCCCGCTTAATTCTGCTTTAGGCCTTACAGCCTACAGAACATCAACAAAATTCTGCCTTAAACAGTTTTTCCAAATGAAGGAAAACCTTAAGACTAATGGAGAATTTTTTGTTCACAGTCATCTTAGATATAATTTGTAGAAAAATTTCAGAAATGTCACACCAAAAAGCTAAAATTCAAAATTTGGTAATCTTAATTATCCATCCCAGATAGCTTTTTATTGTGGTTTTAGTTATAAGAAAAGGAGACCTATCAAGTCCTCTAGAACCCCTTTTATTTTTCTGCTTACATAACAGTTTTTAAAGGCAGTTGATTCAAACCACCTCTGTTCTGGTAAAAAAAAAAGCTAAATGTTGTTCTTTAGAGAAACAGATTTGCATATTTTTATTTTTGAGAAACAAATGTCTTGTTAGGTTGTTCAGGGTAATCTGTTAAATCAAGAGTCTGTTTTGAATTAGGGCTAAGCAGATATCCCAAGAGACTGAATTTTTATTTTTTTTTTTAACAAGTACTTTTTTTTTTTTCCCTTTCTTTTCTTCTAAACGTGTGGGGCCATGACCAAAAGTATAGGCTGACTTAAATTTGCTCTAACCCAAGATCCTTCAGCTAACAGAGACTAGAGGCTGCATAACTTCAGAACTGCCTCCACAATGGAGCTGCATGGATTTAAGCCACGCTTGTTTAACTTTGAGCATTTGTCTATTCACCTGAAACTTGTAAATGCTCCTATTTAGACAAGAGCTGATTGTACGAGACCAGGGACTGATGATTTGGAATACCCAGAGCATGCTGTGTTTGTGGTGCAGTGCCCACCATTTCAACTGTTTTTATGGAGTTTGTGATCCACTGCAGGCTTTTAGACAAAATGCACACTTAAAGGTGCAATCTATGGATTAACTGAACTCAGCAATGGAACTCCCACTGAAATGAAGTGAAAAAAAGATTTCACACATATACTTTGTTTCTACTAAACTGCTGGGACAATGCATATAGACCTCAGTGCCATGATTCAGAGCTCAGTTTTTACCAAACTCCTGGGCTGTTCTCCAGCATCTTGTTCCCAGTGTGTAGGTACAACTGGCACTACCTGTCCCACGTGGACAGGTAAATTTCTCTTGGTAAATTTCCCATGGCCACTGGCTGCCCAATTCTCTAGCCTATCCAGGTCCCTCACTAAGGTCTCTCTACATCTAAGAACACTCACAGCTCCTCCTAGTTTGGTAGCATCAGCAAATGCACCTAATGCATGTTTCATACCTGCATCGAGATCACTTATAAAAGAATTAAAAAGCACTGGCCATGGGATGGAGCCCTGGGGAGCCCCACTAGTGACCAGCCTGACATAACCCCATCAATTACACGACCCTTTTCTATCCCCTGTGTCAGCCAGCTGCTCAGCAAACACACCATGGACATATCTAGCTGTGAGCTGGAAGGGTTAACCAGATGGTGTTGTGAGACAGTACCAAAGGCTTTGCTGGAATCCCAAACTCATCTCCTGGTTTCCCTCAGTCAACTAAATGGGTGAACTTATCATAAAAGGGAATTAAGTTGGTTAGACGGGGTTTTTCCCTCATAAACTTGTGCTACGATCAATGACTTACAAGCATTTTTCAGTAACTCCCAAAATAACCTTCTCCATACTTTTCCCAGGCACTGAAGTGAGACTGACAGGCCTATAGTTACAGGATCATCCTTCTTACCCTTACTGAAAACCAGGATAACATTAGTCAGCTTCCAGTCGATTGGGACTTCTTCAGAACTCCAAGACTTCTGACAATAATGCAAAAGGGTCCACAATGATGCCGGCCCGCTCTTTCTCTACCCTGGGATGAATTCCCATGGATTTATGTGCATAGCTGATCGTGCCTCTATGCCAGTCTGCCTGACACACCCATCCCAGGGAAGGCAGGTGCAATTCCAATCATCCCTCTCTCTTTTCCTGGTAATTCTCAGCCCTGGAGTGGAGGCGCCCCTCTCTCCCTGGGCACACCCCGCAGCCGTGCCGGGGTCCCGACTCCTGTGGCAGCTCCTGCCTCAGGAGCTCCGTTTTCACACAATCAATTCGGTCGGAAAACACTTCCCACATCTCGATTTTCCCGCTGCTCTGCCCGGGGCCTACGCCCCCCCGGGACTGCCCCGGTTCGGGACCCCGCTGGCCGTACGTGGCTCCCCTCGGCGAGGCAGAGGCGAATCCTTATCTCGGATGAGTGTGGGGAGCTGAGGGAAGCCGGGGAAAAGCCGGGAATGAAGGAGGAGGCTGCGCTTCCCTCCGGCAGGGACAGCGGCAGCACCCCCTGGGCGCGTCAGGCACGGCTCCCTCAGCCGCGCCGTGAGGGAGGCCGTGACCGCCGGGGCTCGGCGGAGCAGTACAAGCGGTGCTGCACGAAGCGCTTTTGAAAGTTACCTGGAACTCTGGTGTCTCGGTAGCCTTTAAAAACCTTAAAGATTCTGCCGATGCAGGGAAGGGTGGCAGGACGTTCAGTGGGGATGGGAGCAGCTAGAAGACCTTGGTTTGTTTCAGCTACGAAGCTGAAGATGGAGAACACAACAGATTCTTCCCCGTGAGGGTTACACACAGGTTGACCAGGGAAGCTGTGGGTGCTCCATCTCTGTAAGTGTCAAGAACAGGCTAGACAGGGCTCTGAGCCACCTCTTTTAGTATAAGGTGTCTGTGCCCATGGCAAGGATTTGGGTCTTTAAGATCTCTTCCAACCCAAAGCATTCTGTGATTCTGTGAGGTCTCTGCAGTTGCCAGCCTTTTGTTAGAGGACGCTTTTCCCTTGGTGATGATGGCACAAGAACACGTGGAAAGCAAAGTGTAGCATGTGGGGGTTGGTCTTTCCTCCCATGAAACAAGTGACAAGCCCAGAGTAAACAGCCTCAGGTTTTGCCAGGGTGGGTTTAGATTGGTTGTAGAGTGAGACTCCTTCACCAAAAGGGTAGCCAAACATTGGAACAGGCTGCCCAAGGCAGTGGTGGGGCCACCATCCCTGGAGGTGTTTAAAAGACCTGTAGCTGTGGCACTAAGGGACATGTTTTTATGGTGGATTTGGCAGTTATGAGTTGGACTCGATGATTCTGAAGGTCTTTTCTAACATAAATGATTATCTGATTGCGTGATCAAAGTTGTTTTTATCTGGAAAACAGAAGAAAGATGTAAAACCTCTTTGGACTATCCTTCTAGTAAGGTACTAGAAGCCTAAGCATAAAACCTTGTAATTTTTGCACTAAAAAAACCCCCCTGCATTTTATAGGTGCTTTCTGTCAAAAAAGCAGAATTGAGAATATAGACAATCTTGTCCTTTAAAGTCTTCAGTGTAGTGAGTCTGAGGAATGCCTTTGTGGCACTGAACGTTATTTGTCTGAATCCTCTGCTGTATACACACAAACAACGTTTTTGCACAATTTATATAACTGACATTTAATTTCAACAATTCTGAGAAAAAGCTCAGCAAATGAATTATATGCATAAACTGTTGACCATAAATTTATCTAAAAGAAACCTTGGCATTGCTTTTGTTTAAGAATGCACCTGACCTTTTCTGTTCCTTTGTACAATGCAAGTATGACTGTCAGCAGGAGTTTAACAAGACCCAGACAGTAGGAAGATTGCCAAAATCTCTTTACAGTGTATGTATTTACTCCAGCCTCAGATTCCCTTTTTTTCATGGGACACTAACTGTTGAATAATATCTGCCTTCCAGATAAATTTGGAAGGCTTATGGGGAGAGAGGGAGTTTGGAGGTTGAGGAATATGAAGTGGTTCACACCCTGCTTTTAATCTGTGAGCCCAAACTGGAGGAGCTTTGCCTGAACTGTGTTTTCATGGGAATACTGTCTATGTAATCTATATTCATGTTTACATTTATGTCTCAAGACTTTGAAAATGTTTCTTTAAGCTTTTCTGTATTTCTCCAGAGCTTACCTGCTCCTGGTCTGTTCACACTGACTTAAAAACTAAGGCAACTGATCATTATGTTTTGAAGCACAGATTCAGAAAAATGCATTTGCATTTTGGAAACCCCTGGAGTAAATAAACTGGCATAGCTGAGGGTTAGAAAATTATTATCCTGTAAATCAGAGAAGACACAGATGGGGTGTTCCTAGAAATTCCTATCTAGTGGATTTTTCTTTCCTCACATCAGCCTTTGGGATCATGTGGTATGCTGGAAATAATCCCATTTGCATCTTTAATGGGAGTAGTTTTCAGAAGTAATTCGGTCATATATTCTTTGGGGGTGTGCTGTGGTCTGCTGTATTTGAAAAGAGGAATTCAATTTATTTTTCATCTATAAACCATAAATTATTTAGTTCTGGCATATCTGAGTCACCATTTTCTTTGTTATGCAGTTTGCTCTTTGCACAGGGTCCTCTGCTCTCCAATTCCAAGGGAGACCTCCTGTATAAAACCAGATGACTGTCAGCAGCCCTTTCATGGGAGTGTCCACCATATTCCTCCCTGTCAGAGGAATATGCTTCCCACTCAGATCTGCTGTAGTGCTGACTTGTTCACACCCTGGACATGCTGCAGATTGCATGCACTTATAGAAGCTTTTGAATCCAGGGGTTTGTGTCCTCATTACAGTAGTGTTTGGCCACACAGTGGTATTTATTGCTCTCTTAGCTACAAACCACTTTTCTGCAGCAGCTCCCTCCCAAACACACAGCAGAAGTTTTATTTGTTTGGATTTGTCTTGGGTTGCAGTGCAAGATGTAACCAAAAGTATGTATTCTATTAGCAGCTGTTAAACCAGGTGGAGCAGTGTTCTTTATCTCTTCCACAACCCATCCTCCCTGTGTCAGTGAGTTGGTTTTTTTAGTGGGGTTTTTTTTGGTTATAATATTTTGAAGAGAGTGAGGGTACTTTACATTTTAATTTTTTTCAAGAGGCATTTCTGCTGTCCTTAACAGACACCTGCTTTTTCCAAGCCAAGACAAGGTTTTAAATATAATGCATACCAGAGAAAACCAACCTGATATGAAAAAGAGAAGTCTATGGAAGAAGTTTGTCAAAGATAGTCTTTTGGAATCATATGTGGAGTTCAAAAGACAAATAGTTACACAGCCAAGTCCTCTGGCCTGACATTTCTATGGCTGGCTTTCTGCAAATCAACCAAGTCACACAATCTTATTGCAGTTTGGAGGATCTTTACCTGGTAATTAATTCCCAGGAAATTCCACTTTTCCCACTGCATCACAGAACCAACTAGGCTGGAAAATACCTTTGAGATCATTGATTCCAACCTCTTACCAGTCATAACCTTGTCAGCCTGACCATGGCGCTCAGTGCCGCATCCAAGCTTTCCTTAAACACCTTTAGGGACAGTGGGTCCCAAGCAGCCCATTCCAATGTCTATTCACTCCTGTGAAGAAATTCTTCCCAATGTCCCACCTCCTTCAATAACAGTGGAATAAACCAGCAGGAAATGTGGCTGTTACCTGTAAGTAAAACTGTTGATTAAGCCAGGGTGCAAGTGGTGCTTCTGTATTTTCCAATTGAGGAAATTGCATTTGTCTTGCATTTGTTTCGCAGCACAGTTATGAACCAATGTGAGGCTGGCTCCCAACACTGTTAGAGTATGTTAAATAAAATTTATGTCCAATATTTTAAGCAACAGTATTTTGAAGAGAAAAATTCAGTGGACTCTTAAGTGCTCAGGTGATCTTCAGTTTCTAAAGATCATTGCTGAGGGCAGTTTTATATTTCAGGATTTTTTCCTTTATTTGAGACTTTTTTGGTAAATACACTTTTTCAGTGGAGACTAAACCTAATGTCAATCTTTTTACATAATCTTGCAACAAGCCAGGTCAAAAACCCTGCCTGTCCTTGACCTCCAGTATGCTGTGGATCTCCAAGAAATGAGGTAATTCAATTTCTAGGCCAGATGAGATTAGATTAATATATGAACTGGTCCAAATGCATGAATTATCTGTCCTTGCATTAAATATTCTAGGAGTTTGGGACATTAGTTTTTGGTCAATGACACTGAACTTATTTTCCTATAATATACTTTTAGCAAAGTAGCAAATTAATAAGACTTCAATTTTCTGTGAATTGTTTGACAGCAGTAGTGTAATCTTTATTTTTAATTAAAATCTCCCTCTTCTTTATTGCATACAACAAGCAGTGATATATAAATATGCATCTCTTTCTTCTGTATCATGCCAAGTCTGTTTTACATAATTCCATATTTCATAGGAGCATCTAGATGTCATTTGCTATTCACCTTTTGGTGAAACCCTTCTGTCGCTTGAGAAACAGCACTACAACACTCCTAATTAAAAGCATGTTCTATACATTTCCATTCTTTTCCTGCAACACTAAAAAAAAAATTAAAGCATGGGAGTGTGACACAATGTGGTTTGGGGTTTTTTTTGGGTGACTTGGAGCAAAGTTTTACTCCAGACATGCATTTTTGCTAAAGAAATTGCTCTGTGTAGCAATACCCTGCCTGTCTGTGTTTCTTCAGTTGGGGAAAAACTCGCTTTAAGAGTACAGGGTAAATCCAGCTCATGGTAAGCTCTTGAAAAAACTGGCTTTGTCTGTTGGTGTTTAGGCATGTGTTAAACATCACACTGAAAACTGTCTTGCAGGCATAGTAAATGCTATGAGTGTTACTTTGTTCTGCCTTACAAAGAAAGATTTCCAGTCTCTGCACAGGAGAAATAACAGAAATTACAGAGGAGTGAAAAGTTAACTTATTTTCCATTTAAACCAACTCTAAATTCACATCTTGCAGGAGCTGCATTTTTTTCTGTTGGTTGCAACACTAAAAGGATAATAATTTTATCTACTGCAATAAAGAGAAGACTGTTACCATCATCCACTAAGAAGTTTCAAAATGTGAATTTATTCTTATGGATCAGATGTCTAAAGCATGTGCCATAAGCACAGATGTCTTTGCAAGGTATTTCCTAACAAGGAAAATAGCCAAAGGACAGAAGGTTATA